CCCTGCCTGCTGCTCCCCCCCACTTTCCCTGCCCACTGCTCCCCCCACTTTCCCTGCCCGCTGCTCCCCCGCTTCCCTGCCCGCTGCTCCCCGGCTTCCCCCACTCCCCCCCAGGTCTCCCCCCCTTCCCCACCAGGCTTCCCCCTATACCCCCTCCAGTTTCCCCCTAGTACCTCCCTGTCTCCCCCACCCCTCTTCCCGGTTCCGTGATATCTCCCCCCACTGTTTCCCAGGAGTCTGCCCTCCGCTTTCCCCATCCTTCCCCCCGTGCCCACTACTCTTCCCCCTCCTTGTCCACGGCTGTTCCCCCTCCTTGCCCACTGCTTGTCCCTACTTGCCCACTAACTCTACGCACTTACCCACACATTTTCTCTCCCGGCCCACGCGTTTCCCCCCCGTGCCCATTGCTTTTCCCCCGTGCCCACTGCCATTACCCTCCTTGCCCCCCACTTTTGCCCACTATCGTTCCCCCTCACTGCCCACTGCTACTTTTCCCTGCTGCCTTCCCTCACGTGCCCGCTGCTTCTCCCCCTTGCCGCCGCTTTTCCCCCCTTGCCCGCTGCTCTTCTACTCTCGCCAGTTGCTTTTCCCTTCCTTGCCCCTGCTTTTCCCCCCCTCGCCTGCTGTTATCCCCCCCCTTGTCCGCCGCTTGTCCCACCCCTTGCCCGCTGCCCCCTCTTTGCCCGTTGCCTTCCCCTCCCTTGGCCCTGCCTTTCCCCCCCTATTGCCCGCTGTTATTTTCCCCCCATTACCCGCTGCTTTTCCCCCTGGCCTGTTGCTTTTCCCACTGGCCTGTTGCTTGCCCGTTGCCTTTCCCACCCTTGCCCGTTGCCTTTCCCCCCCCTTGCCTGTTGCTTTTCCCCCTTTGCCGCTCGTCTTCCCCCCTTACCCGCTGATTCTCCCCCCCTTGCCCGCTGCTTTACCCTCTCTTGCCCCTGCTTTCCCCCCCTTGCTCCGCTGTTATTCGCCCACTGCCAGCTGCTTTTCCCCCTGGTCCGCTGCTTCTCCTCCCCTGCCCGCCGCCATTCCCCCCCTGGCCCGTTGCTTCCCCCCCCCCCCTGTGTTCCCGCTGCTTTCCCCCCCGCCTCCCCGCTGTTCTCCCCCCCCTGCCCGTTTTGCTGCCCATTTGGGTCCCACCCATCCTCCGGTCCTCTCTCCACTCCCGACCCTCTCCTTTGATTACCCACTTCCCCCCCCGCTTTCCCCCATTTTCTTCGTGTTCCTCCCCCCCTTCCCCCCTTGGTTCCCCCACTCTTATCCCCGCCCGCTCTCCCCTACTGTCCCCCGTTGTTTCCCCCTCGTATTCTATCCTGCTTTCCACTCTTTTCCCCTTGTTTCCCCCTCCCTTCCCCCTAGCCCACTACTTTTCCCCCATTGCCCACTGCTTTTCCCCCCTCGCCCACCATTCCTCCCCCCGATGCCCACTACCTTTCCCCTCCTTGCCCACCCCCTTCCTCCCCATCGCCCACTGCTGTTCCCCGCCCTGCCCTCTACTCTTCCCCCGCTGCCCACTGACCTTCCCCCTGGCCCACTGATTTCCCCCCCTTGCCCACTGCTCTTCGCCTCTTTTGCCCAGTGCGTTTTCTCCCTCTTCCTCGCTGCTTTTCCGCCCCTTGCCCTCTGATTTTCCCCTCCTTGCTCCCACCAACTCACACGTCAGTTTCCACCCCCGAAATCGTCCCGCCCCACACCCGGTGCTCTTCCCTCCTCCCCCCCCTCTCCTTCCAGTTCCCCCTGTCCCTGCAGGCTGTTTCTTTCCATCTTGTCCTATCCCCGTTTCCCCACCTTCCCCCCGTACGTCTCCCCACAGTCGAGCGCCATAACCCTCCTCTAATCGCCGCCCCCTGTTCTCTCCCTATCCTCCCCCCCCTGTCCCCCTCCCCACTCCACGCAGTTTCTCTGATCTCACCTTCTTTCCCCGCTGTTTTCCTCCCTCCCTTCCCCCCCCTGCTTCCCCCTCCTCCCCCTCTTCTAGCATGCAGTCCGCGTGGCCATGACCCACACCCCCTGCAATGGGGGGGAGGGCGGCCCCGGTGCTCTCCGACGGTCAGGCAGAGCCGGGAGCCGCCCTTCCCCCTACTCACCGTCTTCCATCCCCCCACCCAACAGTATCGCCCCGCCAGCCCGCGTCGAGGTGACCGTCGGCAAGGGCGGGGACCAGGTGCGCTCTGCCTCGCGAGGCCGGAAACGACCACGGGAGAAGGCAGAGGAAGGCCCCGCCTCACGCCTGGAGAAGCAGGAGCGCGAAGCCACACGCTCGCGCTCCCATGGTCGCAAAAAGTCATCTGCCCCCCCTCCGCCACTCCCACAGGCCAACACTAGCGCTAGGAGAGCCCCCACCTCCTCCACACCCATGGCCACAGGTAGCAAGGCTGGCACAGGTGAGGCCGGAGCAGGGCCTGTGGCAGGGGAGGGGGATGCGGCAGCACCGGGGGGTCCTGCAGAGGTGGCAGCAGAGATGGGGGTGTGGGAGGTGAAAGTGGGGGTGACGGAGAGGGCGGAGGGGGAAAGATCGGCAGAGACGGTGGGGGCTGGTGAGGACTCAGAGTGGGACGAGGCCGGGGACTCGGATGGGGACAACGCGAAGGACTCGGATTGGGTTTTGGAGGGCGCCGAGGACTCGGATGAGGACGTAGTTGAGCTCATAGCACCCGCTCCTAGTGCAGCCAGGCTCGAGGCCGTGTCCTCAGCAGGGGAGCCAGCGACGGGAGCTGCGGGGTTGGCAGGAGCGGCAGCTGGAGCGGAGGCGGAGGGGGAGGTGGCACGGGCTGGGGTAGAGAGGGCAGCATTAGAGGGTATGGCCCGGGCCTATGCGCGGTCCATGGCCGCATGTGGTGCGGCGCCGGAGGCAGCAGCAAGAGAGGCTGCAGGTGTGGCAACTGCAGGGGCGGTTGCAACAGTGGCAGCCATCAGGACCGCGGCAAAGGAGGCTGCCGCAGGAGTCACCGCAGGGGGTACTCCAGCGGAAGCTGCTATGGCAGAGGCGGAGGCAGGAGAGGCTGCATGGGGGAAGGTGGAAAAGGCGGCTGCAGAGGCGGCAGCAGCACGGGCTGTAGCCGCAGGGGGAGGAACGACAGCCGTGGTGGGAGGGGTGGCTGTGGGGGCTGCCGCAAAGGCCTTTGCAGAAGTGGCAGCAGCTCCAGCACCGGCAGAGGCGCAGGCACCTGCGCCGGCTGCAACGGGGGCGGCAGAAGGAGACCCTGCAGAGGTAGCAGCCGCTGGGGGTGGGGCCGCTCCAGAGTTGGCAGCAGCCGGGGGGGTGGTCGCGGCGGCGGCAGCAGCAGCTGGGGCTGCAGCAGAGACGGTGGCAGCGGGAGCATGGGCAGCGGCGGCAACAGCTGGGGCCTCCGCGGAGGAGGCGGCAGCAGTGGATCATGCAAGGGGTGCATCGGCTCGGGCTCGGGCTCGGGCTCGGGATGCGGCAGAGGCAGCAGCAGCAGGGGCCGCAGGGGCAGCCGGGGCGGATTTGGGGACAGCAGCAACAGCAGGCGCCCCTGCAGAGGCGGCAGAGGCGGCAGAGGCGGGAGCAGCGGCAGTGCGGGCGGCGACAGTGGCAGGAGCTGGAGCTGCCACCGCAGCGGAGGCAGCAGCAGCCGATCTTGCGAGGGGCGCAACGACCGGGGCTCGGGATGCCGCAGAGGCGGTGATGGCTGAAGCCGCTGCAGCGGCCAGGGTGGCTGCCGGGGAAGCAGAAGCAGACGAAGGAGTCCCTGCTGAGGCGGCGGGGGCGGGGACAACGGCAGAGGCGGCAGCAGCAGCAGCGGCAGCAGCAGCAACAGGAGCACGTGCAGGGGCGGCTGCTGGTGCGGCAGGGATAGGAGAGCCGCCGGAGGCGGCAGCAGCGGCAAGGCTACCTACGGCGGAGGAGGCAGGAAAGGGAGCTGTTGTACGCGCTCTCGCACGGGCTATTACCGGGGGGGGATGTATGCACGTCTGGCAGCTGCTGCGGCAGCAGCGGAGGAGGCAGAGATAGGGGCCGCTGGGGGGAAGGCAGCCAGGGGGAGCGCCACAGGGAAACCAGCAGCAAGTGCTGCGGCAGGGAAGGCAGCAGCGGGGGCAGCGGCAGGGAGAGTAGCAATGGGTCCCGCTGTTTCGCAGGCAGCGGCTAGCAGGGCCGCGACAGCGGCGGCGGCGGCAGCGGCGGCGGCGGCGGCTGCGGTGGTGTCAGCGGAAAAAGGGGCAGCAGGGGGTGCCGCACCGGGGGCAGCAGCGGAAGCGGCTGCAGGGAAGGCAGCAGCAGGACCAGCAGGGCGTGCCGCGGGGGAGACAACCGCCGGGGTAGCTGCGGGGATGGCAGCAACAGGAAGGGCAGCTGGGGCGGCAGCAGGGAAGGCAGCAACAGCAGCAACACGGGCAGCGGCAAGAGGTGCTGCACGGGAGAGGGCAGCGGGAGCCGCTGCAGGAAGGGCAGCAGCTGCGGCAGCTCCAGCAGGAGGTGTGGTGAGAGAGACAGCAGCCGGAGCGGCTGATGGTAAGGCAGTAACTGGGACGAGGGCTAAGGAGGCCGGACACAGGGCAGCACCTAGGCCGGAAGAGACTGTCTCATCCCCTCCCACCCCCCCCATCTCCCCCCTCCCCCCCCCTCCTTCCCCTCCTCCCCCTACTTCCCTTGCGGTCCCCCGTCCCCCCTTCCCCCCCCTACTCCCAATCCCATGCATGCAGGGGCTTCACCAGCGGCGCAGGGCCCTCGCCGTGGGCTACAACCCAGGGCTATGGGCGGGGCGGCCCGAGCCTTGGCGTTTTTGGCGGACCCCTGTACACCCGAGCCAATGATCGGGACGCAGTCTCACCACTCCCTCTCCCCCCACACCCTCCCCTTACGGCCGAGTGTGCCCCAGGAGGCGGCCGCCGAGGATGGCTCGGACAATGATGGCCCGCTCGCCGGATATATCTTGGTCGACTCAACCCTTCCTTGCTCTCCCTCAGCAGCCCTCGCGCCGACGCCAGGAGCACAAACAACAGCCGGGCAGGTTGCTCCCTCCCCCTCCCCACCCACGCAGGCTGTCGCGCCGGACGCCTCGACCTGGGTAGCACAAGGAGGGGCGGCTCTTGCCCAACCCCCCTCGTCAGTCCGCCCCCAACCCTGTTCCACCCCAGGTGCCTCCCGCCCGGCACAGGGCACACACCCTGTCGGCCACACGGGCGCTTCCCATAGGAACGGTGAGCGGGGTGCACCCCCGGCAAGGGGGAGCAACCCGAATCAACTCCCTCTCGGCCCTCGCCGTCTCACCCCGGCTGATCCCACTTCCCAAGCCCCACAGCTAAGCTTCGGGCCAGGCGGGGGTCCCTCGGCGCCCACTCTGCTTCCCTTCCCGGCCGTGGGCCCTACCTTGCCCGCGCCCCGCCCCCCCCCTCCCTCTCCCACACATCCCACCCGCCCCCTTTCCCCGGCAATCCAGCCGGAACTCCCCTCGCGCCCTTTCGTGCAGCCCCCAGGTTTCATGTCCCGCACGGCAGGCGACCACGGGAGTGCCTCCCTCTTGGGCCCTCCCTTGTCACTTCCGTCCCACACACCCTCCAGCCCAGCGCTGGGGCACCCACCCTTCCCACCCCCTCCATTGAGCGTCCCACCCGCGCTTAACCCTTACCCTACTGCCCAACCACCTCTCTTGCCCTGCCCCCCTACTCCCGCCCGACCCATCAGCGCGAACAGGGGCGAGGCGAGGGCGGCCCCCCCATCTCACCCTCCCCCTTCCTGCCCCACACACTCCTTGCCCGTCAGTATTCAGGTGGTCGCAGCGAGCCACCCATCCGCGATGGACGTCGACAAAACAGGAGTAGGGGACCTGCATGATGTCTCCTCCCAACCCTACATCCCCCCTTACCGTCGCTCCGCACAGGCAGCGATATCGGCAGACGCCCAGGGGGAAGGGGACGGGGAAGGTGTCGGGGGAGGGCGGGGCATTGCGGACGGTGCTGCCGATTCCACCACCGCCACCACCCCTCACTTTCTCCCCCTGTCCCCATCTGCACCCGCCCCAGGGCAGGCCGCCATCCATGCGCAGGCTAACCCATCGCGGCAAGCGGCCATCGGCGGCCACACCCCCTCACCCTCCCAGCTGCCCCATTCTCACACTCCTCACCCACAGCAGGGGGCGGTCACACGGCAGCCGCTGATTGGACAGTTTGCCCAACCCCACACAGGTCGCCGGAAGAAGGGCAAGGGCACGGGGACACCCGGGGCAGCCCGGCGCTCGGAGCAGCCGGACACGACTCCACCCTCTGCTGGCGTGCAGCCCTTACCATCCACCACCCCTCAGGCGACCCCATCATTGCCCCCGGCCCGCCACCCACTGCCCTCCCATAACCAGGATGGCGAGCTTCGGACGGTCTCCCTCCCTCACCCCACCCAGGCCCCACTCCCCTGTCACCCCCCCATCCCGCCCTTGGCCCCCCACCAGACGGTCGCCGCCGATGCCCCATCCGCGATGGAAATCGAACCAGAGGCGGAAGAGGTGTCGTTAGCCTCTCGCAAGCAAGCCTATATCCCCCCCCAGCGTCGGTCCCCACCACCCGCTTCTTTGTCCCCCTCCGGTCCACAACCTCTCACCCAGGTCAGGGCCCACGGTGGTTCGCCCACCACGACCAACCAGCCTGCCCTGCTCCCCCTACCCACAGGCGGACAGTCGCAGGGGGCAGATGGGGAGACGGAGGCGGCAGTTGCCGACCTTCTCAGGATATGGGACGCGTCCGCCACCCCCTCTGCGCCCGCTTGTCCGGGTCGGGTGGGGGGGGGCACCGTGGACCCTGCTCCAGACATCTCCCATGCCCCCCCTTCCCCCCCGTCCACCGCCCTCACACCGGAGCGCATGGTGATCGATGACTCCGACGCGGCCCCCGACCACCCCCTCTGCCCAGATGCGTCCACTGCTCCTGCTGCCCACACCCCAGCTCCTACGTCCCCCGGCGAGGCCACTGAGCTAGCCTGCCATCCGGACGCATGCCCCGCCCTGGTCACTGTCCCCCTGGTCGTACCATCCTCACCCACGCCCGCGCATCCCGCCGTCGCGCCTCCCCCCCGGCCATTGCCTTGCCCGCCCCAGACGCACGGCCCGCCCCCCACTTGGGCCACCGACCTCGGACAGGGGCCCATCGAAGAGGCGGTTGTCGGCGCTGACGGCTCGGAGAGCACGATGCCAGTCCCCCCGCACGACACAGCGGTGCCGACAGGAGGACTAGCGGTCACGTGTCCTACCTGCCGGAGCACCTTGGTGAGCAGCCACGCTCTTGCTCTCCATGCACCCCATTGTCAGCCGGCCGATGCTCTACGCAGGGCTGAGGCCCTTCAGGATGCCACCTCTTCCCCTCCCTCATTCAGCGAGCCACGCGCCTCCGTCGTCACATTCTCGGACGCCCAGTGGTCGTCCTTGGATGCGGTCGATTGGACGGATTATTTCTCACCGAGACGCATGCATGCTCGCCCGCTCCGGCGTATCCCGCCGAGGGTTCGCGGGGGGTACGTGGATGTCCTCTGCGCGATCTTGCAGCGCATCAGCCAGCACCCCAGGGCGGGCGGACCGACGTTTCTGCTGTTGGCCATCCCGACCCTCCTCCTCACGCCAGCTACACCACCTGCACAATCACATACGGCGGCCATCACTGCGCGCATTGCGCGCTTCCTTGGTGGAGATTGGGACGCCCTCATAGCAGAGGCGCTCCACCGCCGCACACCCCTCGCGGCATGCACGACACGCCGCGCCCGCGCCGCGACTCCGACGCCTGACGAGCGCCGCATTGCCCGTTGCCTCCGCCTGGCAGCGTGCAATGAGACGTCACGTGCTTGTGCGGCCTTGGAGTCGGCAGAGGCGGCCCCGGACGGAGATCAGACGGTGCACCGCCTACGGGCGAAGCACCCTTGCGCGGAGCGCCCCATCCCAGCATGGGTGGCCTCCTTCCGGGATGCAGCCCTGGTCCTGAGCATTGAGCATCTGCGCAGGGCCATTTTCACCGCTCCGAGGGGCTCTTCGGGAGGACCTTCGGGATGGGTGGCCGAGCACTTCCGCGACACCTTCTTGGCCTTCCCGAAGGCCCTCCCTACCTTGCTTGCTGTCTACCAGCAGTGGCTCCGGGGCGACTGCGCCCCGGCCGCACTTCCCATGCTGGCATCATCCACCCTCGTCGCGCTCTCCAAGCCGAACATGGACGTTCGGCCGATAGCCATAGGGGAGGTCCTTGCGCGCCTACTCCAGCGGGCGGCATGCCTGCAGCTGCGCGAGCCGATGGCTCGAGTCTTCCTACCATCACAGCAGTTCGGGGTCGGGGTGACCTGCGGTACTGAGCTGGTCGTTAGGGGCGTCCGTCGCGGCAGGGCGGACCACCCGGACTGGGTGGTCGTCGAGCTCGACGTGGCGAACGCCTTTAACTCGTATCACCGCGATCGCTTGTTCGAGGCACTGCGAGCGAGCTCCGAGTTTCGCTGCCTCATCCCTTTCGTTGCCCTTTTCTACGGCACGCCATCCTCGCTGTTCTTTCGGACCGGGCGAGGAGTCACCACCATCCGCTCAGAGCGAGGATCTCGTCAGGGCGACCCTCTGAGCCCATTTCTCTTTGCCCTGACACAGAGGCTGGCACTGGAGCCAGTGCTGGCGGACGGGGACGTGCAGCTGTGGTCATACGCGGATGACACGTACGTCCTGGGCACACCAGAGAGGGTGTTGCAGAGCTTCACTGCCATTCAGAGGCGCTTGGGCGAGCTGGGCCTCTCGGTCCAGCCGCACAAGTGCCTGGTCTACCCAGCGGCGTCCACACGACCGGAGGAGTTGGCAGGCTTCACCGCCCTCGGCCTCGATGTCGCGCGCCGGGGTTTGACGGTTGCGGGGGTGCCTGTTGGCACGGAGGATTTCGTCCACACGAGACTCAGGGAGCGTCTGGAGCGGATGGCCCGAGTGCTGCCGTGGCTGCCTAGGTTACGGGACCCCCAGGTGGCTGCGCACCTGCTCTCCGCATGCGTCAGCACGCGCCCTCAGTACCTAGCGCGCACGGTCCCGCCCACACAGGCGGTGCGCTCCATCTTCGCGCGCTGGGACGATGGCCTCGGCGAGGCCTTCCAGCGGCTATTTGTCGCGGGCACCTGGAGCGGAGGAGGAGAGATACGCGGCGCGGCCTTGGACCAGGCATTTCTGCCCATTAGGCTGGGCGGATTCGGCATCCGCCGCATGGCGCGCGCGGCGCCAGCGAGCTACCTCTGCTCCTGGGCGCAGTGCGCCCCCATCCTCTGCTCCCTCCCACAGATCGGTGAGTCCTTCAGACGGGCGCTCGCGGCGGAGGACCCCGCAGGGATCGATCCCCACATCGCGACGGCTTTGGCAGACCTTCCACCGCAGTCCGGGCCTTGCTGCCACCCCTGTCCTCTTGCATCTCGAGCGCGCCGGACGGTCTGTTTTCTGAGGTGAGTCGGCACCTAGAGGCGGCGGCATTAGAGTCCGTTCGTGGACGTCACACTGACCCTTTGCATCTTGCCCGTTTGACATCCCTTCAGGGCGCAGATGCAGGCGCGTGGCTCACGGCGGTCCCTTATGCAGATCCACTGCGCATCCCGGAGGCGCAGTGGCAGGTGGCTTCATGTTTTCGCCTTGGTCTGTCTATCCCCCAGTTAGCCCTTACAGGTCATTGCTCGTGCGGACGGGAGATCGAGGACATGTCGGTGCCCCACCACGTCGTACGCTGTCAGCACTACCACGTCACCACGACCGTCCACAACGCCGTGAAGTACGTCCTTCGCGACATCGCGCGCGAGGCGGGTTTCGCGGTCAGGGTGGAGGACACGGCGCTCATCCCACACCTGGAGGAGGTGCGACGGCGCTTGACAGCCCAGCAGCAGCGGGAGGGGGCACAGGCGGGAGGGCCTACGCTGGCACAGGGACGGACTCGGACAGGACGGGGGGCACAGAGGGCCCAGGGAGGGGAGGAGGGACGGCAGGGAGGGGGGGAGGGACAGCAGGGAGGGGGGGAGGGACAGCAGGGAGGGGGGGAGGGACAGCAGGGTGGGGGGGAGGGACAGCAAGGAGGGGGGGAGGGGCAGCAGGGTGGGGGGGAGGGACACGAGGGAGGGGGGGGAGCACCAGGACAGCAGGGAGTGTGGGGACTGCCGGGACAGTCGGGACAGCAGGCACGGCTGGTGCCGCAGACGCGGGGGACAGAGGCGGGAGTCCTTGGACAGGGGCCACGGCCACAGGGACAGCCCGTTTCACACGGTGGGACGGTACAGCCGCAGCAGCCGCAGCTGAGGGAGGGCCAGGGGAGGCGCCTGGGGCGAGGGAGACGGGGGGCTCAGGAAGGGGGAAGGGCGGATGGGGCTCGGGGGGAAAGGACTCAGGGTACCGCAGGAGAGGGGGGGGCAGCCCGACCACAGGGTGGTGGGGGGGAGGAGATCGAGGAGATAGTCATGGTCGAGGGGGGGGTCAGATAGCAGGGGACCGAGCACGGGACGGGCCAGAGGCAGCTAGAGGGGCCAGAGGGGGTGTGGAGCTTGATCCCCGCCAGGGGACAGGGGCACAGGAGGGCGAGAGAGTGGCACGGGGAGGGGGGATAGCAGGGGGGACGGGGGGGGGCGAGGGAGTGGGGAGGACGGGAGGAGCGGGGCAGGTAGATGGAGAGGGTCTGGGGGAGGGGATAGGAGAGGCAGGGGGGTTGGGAGGGGTAGGGGCAAGGGAAAGGGAAGGGAGGGTGAGAGAGGAGGATGAGGGGGGGACAATGGCACAAGGAGGAGGGGGACCACAGGACACGACTAGGCAGCAGCCCACACTGCAGCACAGCACAGCCGGACGCGCAGGCCGCGCAGGAGCACCCGCACGCATCCCCGACCTCACATGCCGCGACGCTGAGAAGGCACTCATGATTATTATAGACGTGTCGATAGCGGATCCACAGCGGGGTGGGAACGCACAGTTTCGGCGAGCGGCATCCACACAGCGGGGGGTGGCGGCGACGAGGCGGGTGCAGGAGAAGATCAGGGACTGGCGGCCGGCCTTGGTAGGAGTGCAGCCGGAGCCGATGTTCTATGCGTGCGTTGCTGAGACTTTCGGGCACTTGAGCGTGCCACTGCGAGATTTTCTGGGGCTCTGCTCACAGCGCATAGCGACGCAGCGGCGGGACGCGGGTAGTGGGGAGGAGGCATCGGCGCGGATCTTTGAGTGCGCTCTCACCACGCGAGTTTCAGTGGCGCTGCAGCGTGCGCAGGCGAACATTATCACACAGCATGCAGTGCGACAGCTGGGAGAGTCGGACGATGCATGGATGCCGATACCGGTACCGCTTGGCGCAGGCAGCTGGAGCGGACATCACATCAGTGGCTGCTTTGACAGTGTGGCCGATATGCAGTACCTGTTTGATGGCTATGTGTAGATGAAAACAAGAGTAGGCTGTGCTTGAAACGCTGTGTCTGCGCTGTAGGCGCGGGTTGCTGCTTTGTCGTGTCCCTTGGACCCCTCCCTCCTTACAGTCACACCCCTCCTCTCTTCCACCTCTCTCACCTCCCCTTTCTTTTCCCTTACTCTTATCTTTCTTGATCCTCCTACTTCTTCTATCCTTCTCTTTCTTTCCCTCTCTTTCTACCTTCCCTTCTCTTCTTTTCCTCTCTACTTTCTCTTCTCTTCTTTCCCTTCTCTTCCTAACTTCCAAAAACATTACTGTGGTCGTATAGCGTAACATTCATGCCGAAATTTCCAACTTCGGTTTCATATTGGCTATATGACTTGTAACTCTCTTTGTTATTAATAAAATAACTATTCTCGCCCACTGGCGCTTAGCTGCGGAGTTCTGATGGGATCCGGCGTAGTAGCCAAGGTTTGATCGTACCATGGGGACCCTCACCCCGGTGCGCTTCCCACTCCTCCCCTGAGGCAGCTCCCCCCTTTATAGTCACATCCGCGGTCATGCCCGCGAGAGGGAGGCTCGCCATCTCGCTGGGCCGCACGCCCGTCTGTAGTCACGCTGCGGGGCGTCCTATGCAGGGAGCGGCCCTTCCCGCAGCCGCACGACATCGCCGCCCGGGCGGTTCGGGGAAGAATCCTCCTTTCTTTTTCCCACTGCCGCCTCCCGGGCACGGGAGCAGGCAGAAATGGGTACGACACGAGGACTTCCCGGAGGTCACCCTGCCCAGTACTATTCTCGCCCACTGGCGCTTAGCTGCGGAGTTCTGATGGGATCCGGCGTAGTAGCCAAGGTTTGATCGTACCACGGGGACCCTCACCCCGGTGCGCTTCCCACTCCTCCCCTGAGGCAGCTCCCCCCTTTATAGTCACATCCGCGGTCATGCCCGCGAGAGGGAGGCTCGCCATCTCGCTGGGCCGCACGCCTGTCTGTAGTCACGCTGCGGGGCGTCCTATGCAGGGAGCGGCCCTTCCCGCAGCCGCACGACATCGCCGCCCGGGCGGTTCGGGGAAGAATCCTCCTTTCTTTTTCCCACTGCCGCCTCCCGGGCACGGGAGCAGGCAGAAATGGGTACGACACGAGGACTTCCCGGGAGGTCACCCTGCCCAGTACTATTCTCGCCCACTGGCGCTTAGCTGCGGAGTTCTGATGGGATCTGGCGTAGTAGCCAAGGTTTGATCGTACCACGGGGACCCTCACCCCGGTGCGCTTCCCACTCCTCCCCTGAGGCAGCTCCCCCCTTTATAGTCACATCCGCGGTCATGCCCGCGAGAGGGAGGCTCGCCATCTCGCTGGGCCGCACGCCTGTCTGTAGTCACGCTGCGGGGCGTCCTATGCAGGGAGCGGCCCTTCTCGCAGCCGCACGACATCGCCGCCCGGGCGGTTCGGGGAAGAATCCTCCTTTCTTTTTCCCACTGCCGCCTCCCGGGCACGGGAGCAGGCAGAAATGGGTACGACACGAGGACTTCCCGGAGGTCACCCTGCCCAGTACTATTCTCGCCCACTGGCGCTTAGCTGCGGAGTTCTGATGGGATCCGGCGTAGTAGCCAAGGTTTGATCGTACCACGGGGACCCTCACCCCGGTGCGCTTCCCACTCCTCCCCTGAGGCAGCTCCCCCCTTTATAGTCACATCCGCGGTCATGCCCGCGAGAGGGAGGCTCGCCATCTCGCTGGGCCGCACGCCTGTCTGTAGTCACGCTGCGGGGCGTCCTATGCAGGGAGCGGCCCTTCCCGCAGCCGCACGACATCGCCGCCCGGGCGGTTCGGGGAAGAATCCTCCTTTCTTTTTCCCACTGCCGCCTCCCGGGCACGGGAGCAGGCAGAAATGGGTACGACACGAGGACTTCCCGGGAGGTCACCCTGCCCAGTACTATTCTCGCCCACTGGCGCTTAGCTGCGGAGTTCTGATGGGATCCGGCGTAGTAGCCAAGGTTTGATCGTACCACGGGGACCCTCACCCCGGTGCGCTTCCCACTCCTCCCCTGAGGCAGCTCCCCCCTTTATAGTCACATCCGCGGTCATGCCCGCGAGAGGGAGGCTCGCCATCTCGCTGGGCCGCACGCCTGTCTGTAGTCACGCTGCGGGGCGTCCTATGCAGGGAGCGGCCCTTCCCGCAGCCGCACGACATCGCCGCCCGGGCGGTTCGGGGAAGAATCCTCCTTTCTTTTTCCCACTGCCGCCTCCCGGGCACGGGAGCAGGCAGAAATGGGTACGACACGAGGACTTCCCGGGAGGTCACCCTGCCCAGTACTATTCTCGCCCACTGGCGCTTAGCTGCGGAGTTCTGATGGGATCCGGCGTAGTAGCCAAGGTTTGATCGTACCACGGGGACCCTCACCCCGGTGCGCTTCCCACTCCTCCCCTGAGGCAGCTCCCCCCTTTATAGTCACATCCGCGGTCATGCCCGCGAGAGGGAGGCTCGCCATCTCGCTGGGCCGCACGCCTGTCTGTAGTCACGCTGCGGGGCGTCCTATGCAGGGAGCGGCCCTTCCCGCAGCCGCACGACATCGCCGCCCGGGCGGTTCGGGGAAGAATCCTCCTTTCTTTTTCCCACTGCCGCCTCCCGGGCACGGGAGCAGGCAGAAATGGGTACGACACGAGGACTTCCCGGAGGTCACCCTGCCCAGTACTATTCTCGCCCACTGGCGCTTAGCTGCGGAGTTCTGATGGGATCCGGCGTAGTAGCCAAGGTTTGATCGTACCACGGGGACCCTCACCCCGGTGCGCTTCCCACTCCTCCCCTGAGGCAGCTCCCCCCTTTATAGTCACATCCGCGGTCATGCCCGCGAGAGGGAGGCTCGCCATCTCGCTGGGCCGCACGCCTGTCTGTAGTCACGCTGCGGGGCGTCCTATGCAGGGAGCGCCCTTCCCGCAGCCGCACGACATCGCCGCCCGGGCGGTTCGGGGAAGAATCCTCCTTTCTTTTTCCCACTGCCGCCTCCCGGGCACGGGAGCAGGCAGAAATGGGTACGACACGAGGACTTCCCGAGAGGTCACCCTGCCCAGTACTATTCTCGCCCACTGGCGCTTAGCTGCGGAGTTCTGATGGGATCCGGCGTAGTAGCCAAGGTTTGATCGTACCACGGGGACCCTCACCCCGGTGCGCTTCCCACTCCTCCCCTGAGGCAGCTCCCCCCTTTATAGTCACATCCGCGGTCATGCCCGCGAGAGGGAGGCTCGCCATCTCGCTGGGCCGCACGCCTGTCTGTAGTCACGCTGCGGGGCGTCCTATGCAGGGAGCGGCCCTTCCCGCAGCCGCACGACATCGCCGCCCGGGCGGTTCGGGGAAGAATCCTCCTTTCTTTTTCCCACTGCCGCCTCCCGGGCACGGGAGCAGGCAGAAATGGGTACGACACGAGGACTTCCCGAGAGGTCACCCTGCCCAGTACTATTCTCGCCCACTGGCGCTTAGCTGCGGAGTTCTGATGGGATCCGGCGTAGTAGCCAAGGTTTGATCGTACCACGGGGACCCTCACCCCGGTGCGCTTCCCACTCCTCCCCTGAGGCAGCTCCCCCCTTTATAGTCACATCCGCGGTCATGCCCGCGAGAGGGAGGCTCGCCATCTCGCTGGGCCGCACGCCTGTCTGTAGTCACGCTGCGGGGCGTCCTATGCAGGGAGCGGCCCTTCCCGCAGCCGCACGACATCGCCGCCCGGGCGGTTCGGGGAAGAATCCTCCTTTCTTTTTCCCACTGCCGCCTCCCGGGCACGGGAGCAGGCAGAAATGGGTACGACACGAGGACTTCCCGGGAGGTCACCCTGCCCAGTACTATTCTCGCCCACTGGCGCTTAGCTGCGGAGTTCTGATGGGATCCGGCGTAGTAGCCAAGGTTTGATCGTACCACGGGGACCCTCACCCCGGTGCGCTTCCCACTCCTCCCCTGAGGCAGCTCCCCCCTTTATAGTCACATCCGCGGTCATGCCCGCGAGAGGGAGGCTCGCCATCTCGCTGGGCCGCACGCCTGTCTGTAGTCACGCTGCGGGGCGTCCTATGCAGGGAGCGGCCCTTCCCGCAGCCGCACGACATCGCCGCCCGGGCGGTTCGGGGAAGAATCCTCCTTTCTTTTTCCCACTGCCGCCTCCCGGGCACGGGAGCAGGCAGAAATGGGTACGACACGAGGACTTCCCGGAGGTCACCCTGCCCAGTACTATTCTCGCCCACTGGCGCTTAGCTGCGGAGTTCTGATGGGATCCGGCGTAGTAGCCAAGGTTTGATCGTACCACGGGGACCCTCACCCCGGTGCGCTTCCCACTCCTCCCCTGAGGCAGCTCCCCCCTTTATAGTCACATCCGCGGTCATGCCCGCGAGAGGGAGGCTCGCCATCTCGCTGGGCCGCACGCCTGTCTGTAGTCACGCTGCGGGGCGTCCTATGCAGGGAGCGGCCCTTCCCGCAGCCGCACGACATCGCCGCCCGGGCGGTTCGGGGAAGAATCCTCCTTTCTTTTTCCCACTGCCGCCTCCCGGGCACGGGAGCAGGCAGAAATGGGTACGACACGAGGACTTCCCGGGAGGTCACCCTGCCCAGTACTATTCTCGCCCACTGGCGCTTAGCTGCGGAGTTCTGATGGGATCGGCGTAGTAGCCAAGGTTTGATCGTACCACGGGGACCCTCACCCCGGTGCGCTTCCCACTCCTCCCCTGAGGCAGCTCCCCCCTTTATAGTCACATCCGCGGTCATGCCCGCGAGAGGGAGGCTCGCCATCTCGCTGGGCCGCACGCCTGTCTGTAGTCACGCTGCGGGGCGTCCTATGCAGGGAGCGGCCCTTCCCGCAGCCGCACGACATCGCCGCCCGGGCGGTTCGGGGAAGAATCCTCCTTTCTTTTTCCCACTGCCGCCTCCCGGGCACGGGAGCAGGCAGAAATGGGTACGACACGAGGACTTCCCGGAGGTCACCCTGCCCAGTACTATTCTCGCCCACTGGCGCTTAGCTGCGGAGTTCTGATGGGATCCGGCGTAGTAGCCAAGGTTTGATCGTACCACGGGGACCCTCACCCCGGTGCGCTTCCCACTCCTCCCCTGAGGCAGCTCCCCCCTTTATAGTCACATCCGCGGTCATGCCCGCGAGAGGGAGGCTCGCCATCTCGCTGGGCCGCACGCCTGTCTGTAGTCACGCTGCGGGGCGTCCTATGCAGGGAGCGGCCCTTCCCGCAGCCGCACGACATCGCCGCCCGGGCGGTTCGGGGAAGAATCCTCCTTTCTTTTTCCCACTGCCGCCTCCCGGGCACGGGAGCAGGCAGAAATGGGTACGACACGAGGACTTCCCGGAGGTCACCCTGCCCAGTACTATTCTCGCCCACTGGCGCTTAGCTGCGGAGTTCTGATGGGATCCGGCGTAGTAGCCAAGGTTTGATCGTACCACGGGGACCCTCACCCCGGTGCGCTTCCCACTCCTCCCCTGAGGCAGCTCCCCCCTTTATAGTCACATCCGCGGTCATGCCCGCGAGAGGGAGGCTCGCCATCTCGCTGGGCCGCACGCCTGTCTGTAGTCACGCTGCGGGGCGTCCTATGCAGGGAGCGGCCCTTCCCGCAGCCGCACGACATCGCCGCCCGGGCGGTTCGGGGAAGAATCCTCCTTTCTTTTTCCCACTGCCGCCTCCCGGGCACGGGAGCAGGCAGAAATGGGTACGACACGAGGACTTCCCGAGAGGTCACCCTGCCCAGTACTATTCTCGCCCACTGGCGCTTAGCTGCGGAGTTCTGATGGGATCCGGCGTAGTAGCCAAGGTTTGATCGTACCACGGGGACCCTCACCCCGGTGCGCTTCCCACTCCTCCCCTGAGGCAGCTCCCCCCTTTATAGTCACATCCGCGGTCATGCCCGCGAGAGGGAGGCTCGCCATCTCGCTGGGCCGCACGCCTGTCTGTAGTCACGCTGCGGGGCGTCCTATGCAGGGAGCGGCCCTTCCCGCAGCCGCACGACATCGCCGCCCGGGCGGTTCGGGGAAGAATCCTCCTTTCTTTTTCCCACTGCCGCCTCCCGGGCACGGGAGCAGGCAGAAATGGGTACGACACGAGGACTTCCCGAGAGGTCACCCTGCCCAGTACTATTCTCGCCCACTGGCGCTTAGCTGCGGAGTTCTGATGGGATCCGGCGTAGTAGCCAAGGTTTGATCGTACCACGGGGACCCTCACCCCGGTGCGCTTCCCACTCCTCCCCTGAGGCAGCTCCCCCCTTTATAGTCACATCCGCGGTCATGCCCGCGAGAGGGAGGCTCGCCATCTCGCTGGGCCGCACGCCTGTCTGTAGTCACGCTGCGGGGCGTCCTATGCAGGGAGCGGCCCTTCCCGCAGCCGCACGACATCGCCGCCCGGGCGGTTCGGGGAAGAATCCTCCTTTCTTTTTCCCACTGCCGCCTCCCGGGCACGGGAGCAGGCAGAAATGGGTACGACACGAGGACTTCCCGAGAGGTCACCCTGCCCAGTACTATTCTCGCCCACTGGCGCTTAGCTGCGGAGTTCTGATGGGATCCGGCGTAGTAGCCAAGGTTTGATCGTACCACGGGGACCCTCACCCCGGTGCGCTTCCCACTCCTCCCCTGAGGCAGCTCCCCCCTTTATAGTCACATCCGCGGTCATGCCCGCGAGAGGGAGGCTCGCCATCTCGCTGGGCCGCACGCCTGTCTGTAGTCACGCTGCGGGGCGTCCTATGCAGGGAGCGGCCCTTCCCGCAGCCGCACGACATCGCCGCCCGGGCGGTTCGGGGAAGAATCCTCCTTTCTTTTTCCCACTGCCGCCTCCCGGGCACGGGAGCAGGCAGAAATGGGTACGACACGAGGACTTCCCGGGAGGTCACCCTGCCCAGTACTATTCTCGCCCACTGGCGCTTAGCTGCGGAGTTCTGATGGGATCCGGCGTAGTAGCCAAGGTTTGATCGTACCACGGGGACCCTCACCCCGGTGCGCTTCCCACTCCTCCCCTGAGGCAGCTCCCCCCTTTATAGTCACATCCGCGGTCATGCCCGCGAGAGGGAGGCTCGCCATCTCGCTGGGCCGCACGCCTGTCTGTAGTCACGCTGCGGGGCGTCCTATGCAGGGAGCGGCCCTTCCCGCAGCCGCACGACATCGCCGCCCGGGCGGTTCGGGGAAGAATCCTCCTTTCTTTTTCCCACTGCCGCCTCCCGGGCACGGGAGCAGGCAGAAATGGGTACGACACGAGGACTTCCCGAGAGGTCACCCTGCCCAGTACTATTCTCGCCCACTGGCGCTTAGCTGCGGAGTTCTGATGGGATCCGGCGTAGTAGCCAAGGTTTGATCGTACCACGGGGACCCTCACCCCGGTGCGCTTCCCACTCCTCCCCTGAGGCAGCTCCCCCCTTTATAGTCACATCCGCGGTCATGCCCGCGAGAGGGAGGCTCGCCATCTCGCTGGGCCGCACGCCTGTCTGTAGTCACGCTGCGGGGCGTCCTATGCAGGGAGCGGCCCTTCCCGCAGCCGCACGACATCGCCGCCCGGGCGGTTCGGGGAAGAATCCTCCTTTCTTTTTCCCACTGCCGCCTCCCGGGCACGGGAGCAGGCAGAAATGGGTACGACACGAGGACTTCCCGGAGGTCACCCTGCCCAGTACTATTCTCGCCCACTGGCGCTTAGCTGCGGAGTTCTGATGGGATCCGGCGTAGTAGCCAAGGTTTGATCGTACCACGGGGACCCTCACCCCGGTGCGCTTCCCACTCCTCCCCTGAGGCAGCTCCCCCCTTTATAGTCACATCCGCGGTCATGCCCGCGAGAGGGAGGCTCGCCATCTCGCTGGGCCGCACGCCTGTCTGTAGACACGCTGCGGGGCGTCCTATGCAGGGAGCGGCCCTTCCCGCAGCCGCACGACATCGCCGCCCGGGCGGTTCGGGGAAGAATCCTCCTTTCTTTTTCCCACTGCCGCCTCCCGGGCACGGGAGCAGGCAGAAATGGGTACGACACGAGGACTTCCCGGGAGGTCACCCTGCCCAGTACTATTCTCGCCCACTGGCGCTTAGCTGCGGAGTTCTGATGGGATCCGGCGTAGTAGCCAAGGTTTGATCGTACCACGGGGACCCTCACCCCGGTGCGCTTCCCACTCCTCCCCTGAGGCAGCTCCCCCTTTATAGTCACATCCGCGGTCATGCCCGCGAGAGGAGGCTCGCCATCTCGCTGGGCGCACGCCTGTCTGTAGTCACGCTGCGGGGCGTCCTATGCAGGGAGCGGCCCTTCCCGCAGCCGCACGACATCGCCGCCCGGGCGGTTCGGGGAAGAATCCTCCTTTCTTTTTCCCACTGCCGCCTCCCGGGCACGGGAGCAGGCAGAAATGGGTACGACACGAGGACTTCCCGGAGGTCACCCTGCCCAGTACTATTCTCGCCCACTGGCGCTTAGCTGCGGAGTTCTGATGGGATCCGGCGTAGTAGCCAAGGTTTGATCGTACCACGGGACCCTCACCCCGGTGCGCTTCCCACTCCTCCCCTGAGGCAGCTCCCCCCTTTATAGTCACATCCGCGGTCATGCCCGCGAGAGGGAGGCTCGCCATCTCGCTGGCCGCACGCCTGTCTGTAGTCACGCTGCGGGGCGTCCTATGCAGGGAGCGGCCCTTCCCGCAGCCGCACGACATCGCCGCCCGGGCGGTTCGGGGAAGAATCCTCCTTTCTTTTTCCCACTGCCGCCTCCCGGGCACGGGAGCAGGCAGAAATGGGTACGACACGAGGACTTCCCGGGAGGTCACCTGCCCAGTACTATTCTCGCCCACTGGCGCTTAGCTGCGGAGTTCTGATGGGATCCGGCGTAGTAGCCAAGGTTTGATCGTACCACGGGGACCCTCACCCCGGTGCGCTTCCCACTCCTCCCCTGAGGCAGCTCCCCCCTTTATAGTCACATCCGCGGTCATGCCCGCGAGAGGGAGGCTCGCCATCTCGCTGGGCCGCACGCCTGTCTGTAGTCACGCTGCGGGCGTCCTATGCAGGGAGCGGCCCTTCCCGCAGCCGCACGACATCGCCGCCCGGGCGGTTCGGGGAAGAATCCTCCTTTCTTTTTCCCACTGCCGCCTCCCGGGCACGGGAGCAGGCAGAAATGGGTACGACACGAGGACTTCCCGGGAGGTCACCCTGCCCAGTACTATTCTCGCCCACTGGCGCTTAGCTGCGGAGTTCTGATGGGATCCGGCGTAGTAGCCAAGGTTTGATCGTACCACGGGGACCCTCACCCCGGTGCGCTTCCCACTCCTCCCCTGAGGCAGCTCCCCCCTTTATAGTCACATCCGCGGTCATGCCCGCGAGAGGAGGCTCGCCATCTCGCTGGGCCGCACGCCTGTCTGTAGTCACGCTGCGGGGCGTCCTATGCAGGGAGCGGCCCTTCCCGCAGCCGCACGACATCGCCGCCCGGGCGGTTCGGGGAAGAATCCTCCTTTCTTTTTCCCACTGCCGCCTCCCGGGCACGGGAGCAGGCAGAAATGGGTACGACACGAGGACTTCCCGGGAGGTCACCTTGCCCAGTACTATTCTCGCCCACTGGCGCTTAGCTGCGGAGTTCTGATGGATCCGGCGTAGTAGCCAAGGTTTGATCGTACCACGGGGACCCTCACCCCGGTGCGCTTCCCACTCCTCCCCTGAGGCAGCTCCCCCTTTATAGTCACATCCGCGGTCATGCCCGCGAGAGGGAGGCTCGCCATCTCGCTGGGCCGCACGCCTGTCTGTAGTCACGCTGCGGGCGTCCTATGCAGGGAGCGGCCCTTCCCGCAGCGCACGACATCGCCGCCCGGGCGGTTCGGGGAAGAATCCTCCTTTCTTTTTCCCACTGCCGCCTCCCGGCACGGGAGCAGGCAGAAATGGGTACGACACGAGGACTTCCCGGGAGGTCACCCTGCCCAGTACTATTCGCCCACTGGCGCTTAGCTGCGGAGTTCTGATGGGATCCGGCGTAGTAGCCAAGGTTTGATCGTACCACGGGGACCTCACCCCGGTGCGCTTCCCACTCCTCCCCTGAGGCAGCTCCCCCTTTATAGTCACATCCGCGGTCATGCCCGCGAGAGGGAGGCTCGCCATCTCGCTGGGCCGCACGCCGTCTGTAGTCACGCTGCGGGGCGTCCTATGCAGGGAGCGGCCCTTCCCGCAGCCGCACGAATCGCCGCCCGGGCGGTTCGGGGAAGAATCCTCCTTTCTTTTTCCCACTGCCGCCTCCCGGGCACGGGAGCAGGCAGAAATGGGTACGACACGAGGACTTCCCGGGAGGTCACCCTGCCCATACTATTCTCGCCCACTGGCGCTTAGCTGCGGAGTTTGATGGGATCCGGCGTAGTAGCCAAGGTTTGATCGTACCACGGGGACCCTCACCCCGGTGCGCTTCCCACTCCTCCCCTGAGGCAGCTCCCCCCTTTATAGTCACATCCGCGGTCATGCCCGCGAGAGGGAGGCTCGCCATCTCGCTGGGCCGCACGCCTGTCTGTAGTCACGCTGCGGGGCGTCCTATGCAGGGAGCGGCCCTTCCCGCAGCCGCACGACATCGCCGCCGGGCGGTTCGGGGAAGAATCCTCCTTTCTTTTTCCCACTGCCGCCTCCCGGGCACGGGAGCAGGCAGAAATGGGTACGACACGAGGACTTCCCGGGAGGTCACCCTGCCCAGTACTATTCTCGCCCACTGGCGCTTAGCTGCGGAGTTCTGATGGGATCCGGCGTAGTAGCCAAGGTTTGATCGTACCACGGGGACCCTCACCCCGGTGCGCTTCCCACTCCTCCCCTGAGGCAGCTCCCCCCTTTATAGTCACATCCGCGGTCATGCCCGCGAGAGGGAGGCTCGCCATCTCGCTGGGCCGCACGCCTGTCTGTAGTCACGCTGCGGGGCGTCCTATGCAGGAGCGGCCCTTCCCGCAGCCGCACGACATCGCCGCCCGGGCGGTTCGGGGAAGAATCCTCCTTTCTTTTTCCCACTGCCGCCTCCCGGGCACGGGAGCAGGCAGAAATGGGTACGACACGAGGACTTCCCGGGAGGTCACCCTGCCCAGTACTATTCTCGCCCACTGGCGCTTAGCTGCGGAGTTCTGATGGGATCCGGCGTAGTAGCCAAGGTTTGATCGTACCACGGGGACCCTCACCCCGGTGCGCTTCCCACTCCTCCCCTGAGGCAGCTCCCCCCTTTATAGTCACATCCGCGGTCATGCCCGCGAGAGGGAGGCTCGCCATCTCGCTGGGCCGCACGCCTGTCTGTAGTCACGCTGCGGGGCGTCCTATGCAGGGAGCGGCCCTTCCCGCAGCCGCACGACATCGCCGCCCGGGCGGTTCGGGGAAGAATCCTCCTTTCTTTTTCCCACTGCCGCCTCCCGGGCACGGGAGCAGGCAGAAATGGGTACGACACGAGGACTTCCCGGGAGGTCACCTGCCCAGTACTATTCTCGCCCACTGGCGCTTAGCTGCGGAGTTCTGATGGGATCCGGCGTAGTAGCCAAGGTTTGATCGTACCACGGGGACCCTCACCCCGGTCGCTTCCCACTCCTCCCCTGAGGCAGCTCCCCCTTTATAGTCACATCCGCGGTCATGCCCGCGAGAGGGAGGCTCGCCATCTCGCTGGGCCGCACGCCTGTCTGTAGTCACGCTGCGGGGCGTCCTATGCAGGGAGCGGCCCTTCCCGCAGCCGCACGATATCGCCGCCGGGCGGTTCGGGAAGAATCCTCCTTTCTTTTTCCCACTGCCGCCTCCCGGGCACGGGAGCAGGCAGAAATGGGTACGACACGAGGACTTCCCGGGAGGTCACCTTGCCCAGTACTATTCTCGCCCACTGGCGCTTAGCTGCGGAGTTCTGATGGGATCCGGCGTAGTAGCCAAGGTTTGATCGTACCACGGGGACCCTCACCCCGGTGCGCTTCCCACTCCTCCCCTGAGGCAGCTCCCCCCTTTATAGTCACATCCGCGGTCATGCCCGCGAGAGGAGGCTCGCCATCTCGCTGGGCCGCACGCCTGTCTGTAGTCACGCTGCGGGGCGTCCTATGCAGGGAGCGGCCCTTCCCGCAGCCGCACGACATCGCCGCCCGGGCGGTTCGGGGAAGAATCCTCCTTTCTTTTTTCCCACTGCCGCCTCCCGGGCACGGGAGCAGGCAGAAATGGGTACGACACGAGGACTTCCCGGAGAGGTCACCCTGCCCAGTACTATTCTCGCCCACTGGCGCTTAGCTGCGGAGTTCTGATGGGATCCGGCGTAGTAGCCAAGGTTTGATCGTACCACGGGGACCCTCACCCCGGTGCGCTTCCCACTCCTCCCCTGAGGCAAGCTCCCCCCTTTATAGTCACATCCGCGGTCATGCCCGCGAGAGGGAGGCTC